CTACTTTTGAAGACTTACAATGTCTCCAATGTTTTGGTTTTGTCGGTTTTATTCTTTACTGTTTTGTTCAATTGTATTATAACTAACGATACAGGCAATTCTATTAGAGATAGCGGGAGGCATTATGGTAACCATTGTTGATCACCTTGTATTATGTTTTCACATTATCTATTATGTCCACCCTTTTGACTTGACCGATTCTGTTCTGTTATGTCACATTTGGTTTTACTCTCTTCCAAAAAAGTAATAAGAACCGAGGGAGCAATGAAACCCAAAATGTGTAATAGTCATTGTACAAAACAGAGGAAAAGAAAGTGCTCTAAACTATATAACTGCATGTATATTTAAGTGTATAAGATAGAAAATGATATCACAGAGTTTTATTGGATCATTGAACAGAACTGTTTGCAGTATCATTGATGGAATGTTCACTTTACAAGCTTTAATTTTGTGACTTGAACAATTATTTCTAAGATGACAATATGTAATCCATTAACTAGTGATTTCCTACTGTTCATTTTTTTTCTGTAAATCTGTATAACTTGTACCCTTTCCCTGCTTTTTTTTTCTTTTCTCCTTAAATAAAATTAAAAAAAAAAAAAAACCAAAACCAAAAATATCTAAAGTGCATCTTTATTTTTCCTTTTTTCTTAATTCAGCTCATCTTCAATTACTGTTTGTTTGATTTCCAAAACATGTCTCTATTTTTCCTGTTTCTCCAATACCACTAACACAATAAGCTATCATTATCTTTCTCCTTGACAGTTCCTTAACTGTTAGTCTATTTTTTCACCATTGTCTCCATAGTGTTGTTTTAAAAATATAAATCAAATCATGACACTCTCATTTCTCTTAGAATAAAATCCAAATTCTTTGCCAAATATTCCAGGGTTCTGTAGTTAATCTTCTGCCTGTGTCTCCCACATTAGCCCAGCCCACACCCTCTCTCTGACTACTTTCCATGCCTGCTGAACTCCCTTGGTTCTTGAAACCTGGTTAATGCTTTCTTGCACCAGAACGTTTGAATTTGCTCTCCTTTAAGTCCATAAACGTTGAATGATGGGCTCAGATTCAGGCCTACTATATTCATTTTCTCCCTGAAGTATCTTTTTCCATCACTCCCTTTATCTTTCACATCATCACTCCATTGTTTCTGCATAGAAACTATAACAATTTGTTAGAGTGCAAGTTTTAGAGTTGCTTATAATAAGACTTTTGGATTGTGAGTGACTAAGTATGGTTGGTGATGAAAAAGAACAGAAAATGATTTTAGCTTGGGAAACACCACCATTGGAAGTAGCTAAAAGAGGGGAAATAAAAACTGTGTGTCTGGCACTTGACATTTACCGTGTTTCATCACTGCTATAAAAACCAGTTATGAGGATATTGAGTCCCTAAAATTCACATAGTAAATATTGCTTGATGAATGTCTTCCAGTGGGGAGGAAAAACCAAACCAAACCAACCAAACAAAAAAACCCTGTGTATCAGAAAGGGCAAAGAAAAGGATGGGAATGGTATTGGCAAACCTAACTCTGAATTATTAGGAGAAATGCTATATTTTAAAAGTCTTACAATAGCTTACACTTATCAAGTAGAATCTTCCTTTGCCAAGGAAGTGTCTTATAATTCTTAAAATTCTGTTTCTAATAGGTAAAACTCTTTAATGTTATTGAAAACAGTGTTATGTATATCATAGTGGTCTCAAATTTTTCAGACACCATAGATATTTTCACATATATCCATAAACTAGTGAATATTCAAATAAAAAAATTCTCCCTTTTGTGGCTACTAACAGAAAGTAAAGTACAGAACTATGAATCTGAATTGTGAATAGACACAAACCATTTAGTTTTAAAAACTCAATTCTGCCAGTTAGCTGATTTTTATGTTCTTGATTTTTTATGACTCTGATAAGGTAATTAAGCAAAAATATATTAAGTATTATAAAATAATTTATCCAACAACACTGTTGGATAACCATCTCAACTTTAAAGCTGGAATAATATTGCAGCACCATATCCTAAATAAAAATCATACTTTTCCTAGTTTCCATATTTATCAGATTTCTAAAAGAAATACCTGACATGGTTATTAACAAACTAATCATGCTATGCATTTTTCTTCACATTATGTGAATGAAACAACTACAGTTACTGTCAAAATCTTAGTTAAAATAAGAAATTTTGCCCTGTATCTATAGATGTTCTTAGTGAATTTCATCTTTAAAAATTTAATATTTTAGAGCAGGTTGTGGCGGGCACATGCTTGTAATCCCAGCTCTTGGGAGGCTGATACAGAAGGACCAGCCTAGATTATATAGCCAGACCATATTTCAAAAGGCCTCCAAATAAATAAACAAATAAATAGCTGAAAGTGATCTAAACTAAAACAATATACATTTTAACCACCAACTCAGTTATTGACAAATTACAGAATACAGGTTTAAAACTTACACAGTAGAATTAAAGAGAAAAGGTGATTCTTTAAAAACATTTATGAGAAAAAATCATTTAGTACATTTTAATTGTGATAATTTTTATCAAAAACTTCATTTTCACTAGCTATTAGATAAAAATTGTTTAGCTAAAGAAAAATACTTCATTCTACAAGAAAAATTTTTTAACAAAAAGTAGAAACTTTAATCTCATAGTTGTCCACATTTATCTCCTAACAAAGCTTAAAATAAACCTAATTTGACAAAACAAAGGGCACCTATAAATTCTGTTCATTAAAGACTTTTCTATTCACCAATATGTGATACTGAGTTTCTTGATACAGTATGAAATCTTAAATATGAAATTGCGCGTATAGATCCAAAAAGAATTTCAGATAGTTTTGAGATTTTTTTAGATTTTTCAGAACTCTAAAGATTTAAAGTATAGTTGTAAAAATTTGTTTCCTTTTCTCGAAACATTTCTCTTCAATCTTTGAAATTATTCATAAGATTGTCAGTATGCCACGTACACATGAAACATTAATTTATGAGAATATTAGTAAGATGTACTTCATTGATCCAGACCCTTCTGGTTTATGACAGCAGAACAGAAAGAAGAAAAAAAAAGTACTAAAATAGCAACACTAACTTGACCCAAAAGGAAGTTTGTTGAGTTGGCTATATGTATATACATGTGATACCTAAAAAATGAAAGAATGTAATGGAAATTTTAGGGTGGATACTTGGCAAAGTCTGAACACTCAAATACAGAACTAAATATTTTCCTTGGCCCCATGCCATTTAGCAGGAGTATTCCTAACCTCACCCTTCAGTCTCTATTTAACTGAGTCATCCAGTATTTCCCATAAGCAAGTGACATCTGTGAAGATGAAGTGCTTAGAGCCAAACAGTTCCTTATGTTTTTTAATATGAAGGATAAGTTTTTAAGAGCTACTAAGAAAAGTGTATGATATTTAAATAAAGAGGATGAACGTCCTAGTTTCAGCATTTATAGTTAGAAATACTAGCCTAGCACTAAGTTTGATTTGTGAAATCATTCTCTGCTTAAAGTGAACAAGATCCTTTGAAGAAATGGGTGCTTCTAGGGTCAGTGCTGGGAAAGTATAAACTTCATATGAAACATCTGGTTATATCAGAAGACAGAAAAGAAGAGTGAGTGGTCCTCAAAAGGATACAGAAGCCAACTTGAATAGGTTCCCATTTTGGACAGTTTGTAAGCGTGAGATTATGGTGCATTGAACACATGAGCCCATAAAGACATAAATTAAATAAATTCTGGGAAAGAGGAATAATTCGCTTATTAAAGAATAGCACCATCTCGGTTTGTTGGTGCCTACCTGTGTGTTCTCTGAGAGGCTGAGGCAAGTGGATTGAAAGTTTGAGCACAGCCTGGGCGGTTTAGTAACAAAAGGAGATCCTGTATGTGTTTTTTTTTTTCTTTTTCTTTTTTCTTTTTAAAAGAGTATTGTGGATGTAGTTCAGTAAGAATGTCCTGAGGGCACGCGCGCACACAGACAGTGATTGGGTTTCCATAAGTAAAAACAAATTACTGATTTTGCCTTACATTGTACAAAAAATTTATTTCAGTTGGATTGTAAATCTAAATATGAAAGAAAAAGCAGTAGAACATGTTAGAAAATAGTATAAGAACAAGGAAATGATTTATAATAGTACACAAAGCATTTATTATAATGAAGATCACATAGAGTACATTGTGATTTCATTAATTAATTGAAAAACATCAAAAAATAGATTACAGAGTGGAAGAAGATACTTCTACTTCAAAAAAAGTGACCCATGTGCAGAATACTTTTATTGCTTTTAAAGTGTATAATGAAATTTGCCTTGGTTAGTCACCTTAATTTTATTTAAAGAGATCTTAATTTTTCACTCATAAGATTTCAGTTATAAAATAACTTGTACTGAATCTGGAGACACTTGGAGTTTAGTAGAATCTTTGCAAAAATACTTTCAAGATCCTACTTTTTTGTGATGTTCCTGATATGTAATGGATCTTTAAATATGTTTACTGAATTAATGGACGAATGATTCATTATTACAGTGCACACATAGAAGACAGTACTCTCATGTAAGGACTGGCCTTTTAACTGTAAATCTAAAACTCATAGTAAGCATTTCAACCAGATAAAAGTATTTAGTGCCATCATTTTTAGAATAAGAAGGTAAAGTACATTTGAAGATGTCAAATATTGAGCATGATTATAGGAAGCTTAACATTGTTTTATTTTGTCAAATGTGCAAGATATAGGAACATATCATTATAAAGCAGAATGGAGAGGAGAGACTTTTTGTCTCAAGAAGTAGAATTTTGTGAGCATACAATGCTGCTTTGGAGAAGTGAAAATGGTTGAGAGAAAATATTTGTGAGCTAAACAGAGCTAGGGTTTAGCAAATGGCACGAAAAGAGTAGGGGTTATGTTAATAATTTTTGACATTATGTAAGTCATTTGAAAGTTTGTGCTAGGTATATGACAAGTGACATGAATTAGTAATTATTAAATTTCAACTTTACATTTTTGCAGAGTTTTAAAGTTTCTGTTGCTTCCCACAATGGATGAACAATCACAAGGAATGCAAGGGCCACCTATTCCTCAGTTCCAGCCACAGGTAATTCATTTTGCTTAAAGAGTCATAAGTATGTGAATCCGTATCAAATATGTATGAGTAGTAGTACATTAATGGTTCTTCTAGGAAATAAAGTGGCTTAAAATGCTGATTTAAAATTATTTTTTAAGTTTTTGTCAGAATTGTTTTAAAACATTTTATAATTCTTAGTACCGCACACGAAAACAAAAGTGCAGCTTTAACTTTTAACTATTTGAATGACATGCTGGATTTCAAGGTTATTACAGTACAGTAGTAGGTGTAGAGAAGGAAAGAGGGAGGGAAAAGGATATGCCAAGATTTTTGAAGAGCCTGTATATTTTGTACCTGCATGTGCTTTGGTGGCCTGGTTTTTCACTTGCCCACATTATTGCTTTATTAGTTCTGCTTTTCTTCTTCTCTGACTAGAAATGTCATGTCTCCTGTTACTTGGCTCCTTGTGAAGTAAAACGTGTTTGAGTAACAGACGTATACACAGTATTACAACTTACTTAGTAACCTGAGTTTGTTAATGCTTATGTAAAGCTCAATATGTAATGAAATGTTTAAAGTAATTGTCCCTGAGCAGGGCCAGACCCTCCTGTTTATTGTTGTTGCTCGCTCATAAAGACTTTCTTCGCTTGGTATTTAAATCCTTCTACAGTAAGTTTCTAATACTTTCTGCTGGCTTTGTCCCACTTTTGCTTGGACTGTATTTCTAAAAGTGTTTGAGGAACTGATCTTTTGCAAGAGATCTGTAGCAAAATAGTTTTGATGATGGGGTAAACACTTATTTATGAAAGTATCTCTTCAGAACCTTTCTAATACCAATGACTTTTGTAATGCTTAAGAGAGATACACAGGGTATTTTGTTTCAGACTTTTTCATCTGTGGAATATTTTTCTTTTAGTGCATGTATTGATATCCCCAAGAAGCACAGTTCAGAAAGTATTGACTACAAAAAACTAGACAGTCTTTTCTGTTTCTATGATACTGTTCATTTTGTGTTTTTCATATTTGACTCTTAATTTTTAAAATCTTCGTCATCCTTCCAGAACTACTTAAAATGTTGTTTGTGCCATAAGGCTTTATCTGGTCTTCTGAATTTGCTGGCTTCTCTTCAAAGAGTAACTCCATGGTTCTTCTTTGATTCTTTCTTTTCAGTACCTCTGGTGCCTTTAAGACATGCTTATGTGAATATTTTCTTTATCTCTTCTATTAGCTTAAAGTTTTCAAGAGAGAAAAGACTATGTGTTGTCCAGGATGCCATGTATTACTTCACTTTCTTGCATGTAGTAGAGGCTGAATAAGAATATATAACTGAGACTAACCAGGAACTCCTTAAAATTAAAATGTTTGAATCATCCCTTAAGTGCACTTTTACATTGTGCTTCTTTGTTTACTTAACCTGAATTCTTTGAATTGAAGAATAAAAATTCTACTTAAGAGTAACACCAATATTTTAATTCCAAGAGTATTTGTTTCTTAAATCTAACTCTGTATTTTGTAAAATTATCATAAATCATTCTCAAGATTATAATAATCTCAAGATTATAATAACTACACATAATTATCTTAACACTAATTTCCCACATGCACACATTATTGTTTTACATTATATTTTGTCTAGTGAAGATAAAGAACAGTTCTAAAAATTAGGTAGTTCATGTTATGATTTTGAAATTCACAGCTGTGAATAGCCCTGTGTTTCAAAGAGAAAAACACAAATACTTTCATTTTTGCCTCCTACTGACTCACCAACCAGGAAAGGTCGGAGAAGCACTAGGAGGCAAAAATGAAAGTAATGTTTTCTTATGAGACACTAGGCTGTCACACAGTATAAATTTCAAAATTATAGAAATGGTTCTGCATTTCTTTTCACACTGTTCCTTTCGTTTATGCCTCCTGCTGCTGCTCTTGTGTAGGTGGACCTCTTTCCCTGTTGGAAATAGGCAAGTGTCATTCCAAGCTCGAGCTGCCTTGTGGCAAGGGGAGGAAGGGAAAAGAATTTTTTTTCCTCTGGCTGCCTTCAGACTGATGGTGTGAGACAGTGAAAGAAAGATTATCTGACAGGAGCTCATAGAAGTTATTGCTTATTAAGTCTTTGAAAAATGTTACCACTCTCTGTAGCATTATTTTAAAAGACTGGGAAAGGACAGCCCCTGCTCAGGGTTGACAACCTTCTTTTTGTTTTGTTCTACACCATTGGCCTGAATAATGGGGCTGATATGGCAACATGGTTAGTCCAGTGACTTCCTCCACTTTTATTATGCTAATGTAAGTCTGACCATAAACAGAGAACTAAGAAAATCAGCTTTTTAGGTGTCAAGTACCAATTCACTGTTACAATGATAAATGATATATATATTCTTGCATATGCCTTCTTTTTCTTGTTATGAAATGATACTCTAACCCCATAATGTGTAATGTGTGGTCTCATTTTTTAATGCAGCGTGAGTTCCTTTTTTAAAGTTTTAGATATGAAATTTATGTATTTTTATTAGTGTTTTTACATTACCGTCATTCTTTTTAACTGAGGGAAACCATTTATTTTATATTTTAAATCAACTTTCCTTTCCTTTCTTCCTTCTTTCTTGTTTCCTTTCACTGAAGTCTAGAGGATACTGAAAGAATATTTTGAGTAGATTCATTTTTATACATTTTTATTGCCTTTAGACCCTTATGAAACAGTAGGCTTGAATTTTTAAATTTAGATTGTATAAAGGGTGATGTTAGAAATAGTAAATACTTTTAATGTAAGACTAATTTTCAACTTACAACATTTACATTATCCTGGAAATTTATATTTTCTGTGATTTTAATTTGTGGCTGTTGAATAAAGAGAGCTAAATACTTCACTTTTATCATAAAGTTAAATAATTATAAAATAATTATAATCAGTACGATCTAAGAATTTTAAGGAAAATTAGTTTTAATTATAACGATACTTAGAAGTTTAGGTTATGATTTTCACTTTCATTTTGTTAAGTCTGAAGGTAGTGTAATACTTCAGTTGGCTCTGAAAAGAGATGATGTCTCATATGTATAGATAGGAAAATAGTTTTTATAGCTTTGAAAGTATGAGAATCTTGTGTTTTTAATTAGTAAGGTAGACTGACCATACCTTTAAACATTCTTGGTAATACAAGCTATCATCATTTATAATTTTGAATCCTTATGATGTAAGGGTGAAAAATGAAATGCAGGGTGTCTGCCTACCTCATAGTACATTCAGGAACATAATAAGCGTTCTTTGTGGGCCAGGAGAAAGGTAGCCCATGGTAGATTCTTTCAGTGGGTAAGACTTTTAGATATGATCACTATGTTACTTTCTCTCTAGTTTATGTTCCACTTTGAGAAACAAGAGTCACTTAGCTTACATCTTTTTGATAAACTGATTTTGCAAAAATATTTGTCACATGGCATTGAGTAGTGCTTCTGTTTCTGAAAGCTTTCATAGACATTTAGATGCTGTATTCACTGATTATAGATGTAGGAGAATGAACAGTGTCAGTTTTGAAGAAAGAAGTTTCTTTCATAGTTTTAAACTCATAGTCTTGAAACTTAGTCAAGCCTGATACTTCTCAGCAATCCTATCATTAGCCCATTCACTTCTCACTCTCCTCACTCCCAATCTCCTACTTTATATCTTTTGTCCTTGAGTCCCAGCATATCCTCCTTCAACCTTTCTCAGCTGGTACTTGTACTTCTTATTTTAATGAAAAAATTAAAGACATCAGATGAAAACTTCCATAGACTCATGCTATCCACATTCTCCTCCCAAATCTGTCCTCATGCAGTGTGCTTCTCTTGTTATCCAATGAATAACATGGATTCCTCTCAAAGGCCATCCATTTCAGGAGCACTCTACCCGGTCTATGTGCCTACTCAGTTGCATTACCATACTATTGTGCCACTATTTTTCCAATCTTATAAAAAGGGAGAAGTACTCCCCACTGGCCTTTGAAGTCCCTCTTCCCTCCAGCTGTTAGCTTGCTTCTCTATATTCTAAAATTCCTTAAGTTATGTATTTCTCCTTTTAAGTTTATTCTGAGCAAGCATTCTTCTCCACTGTGATACCTGTGATGCTTCTGTCAAGATTTTGTTACCTTATGTTGCTCTGTTCTGTGGTCAGTTCTCGGGCCTCATCTTTTGTCAGCTGCTTCGGATGAAGCTAATTGTGCTCTCTTCTTTGAAGCCTTTTCTTTTGGCCCCCAAGAATCTTGTTTTTCTTTTGTTTTACTAGTCCCTCTTCTGATTTCCTATCAACTTTTGAATCTCTTATAAGTGGAACACACAAGCTCAAAGACTTTTTCTGTAGAAATCTGTACTGGTTAATACTCAGTTATCTCAAGCTGGACTTCTTCCTCTTCCAGACTGGCATACAGTTTGCCTTCTTCATATCAAATTTACCTGTCTTAACTCTAGTGTGTCTGAAACTAAACTAAATATTTCCCCCTAACTGTTCTACCCAGTGTCTTCTCTGAGTTAAGCCCTTCCTTTCTGTTGGGGAGACTAAACTTCTTAGAGCCATCCCTAATCTCTTTCTGTTTCTCTCAACTCATTTAATGTATCAGAAGTGCAGTCTGTGTCTTTAGAATGTGTTTAGAATTTTAACATTACTTACTTCCTCCATTGATATGGCCTGGTCAGTTACTTTAATTTTTCATTTGTGATATTCTCAGTAGCTTTTTCTTTTTTAAAAAAATTGTTTTTCAAAAAAAAAGATTATTTTTTGGTATATTTTAGGTATATGTATTGATCACATTCATCATAGGGAGTTTGTACTTGTACATAATGCAGCATGATTTTTTTTGTCACATTCCCTTAACCTCTCTTCATTCCCTCTTTATAAAACCTTTGTTTTCATTTTATTGTTATTTTCTCAGTTTTTCTTTTCCCTTTCTTCCTTTCCCCATCTCCCTCCATAGTTCTCTTGCCCATTGGAACATTTCTTTCCTGTTTTTCTATATCTAAAATACATTTTATTTGGGTCCATATTACTTTTTGTTTCTCACACCAGAGAAACCAGTTGGTATTTGGAATATGTGAGTATACTTTATTTCACTTAAAAGTATGGTCTTAAGGCTCATACATTTTCCTAAAAATGTGTCAAAGTTTATTCTTTATGACAGAGTGGTATGCTGCTTTTAATTTTTTTGGGAAGACCCAGAGAAGGACTAGCTGGGTTAAATGAACTTCGAGTTTTACTTTTTTTGAGGAACCTGCACACTGATTTCCATAGTGGTCCTACCAGTCTACACCCCAGAAATGGAGAAGAGTTCCTCTTCCCCCACAGCTTTGCCAGCATTTGTTTTTGGTTGATTTCTTGATGATACCATTCTTTTGGGAGTGAGAAAGAATCTCAGTGTTGTTTTAATTTGCATGTCTTGGATGACCAGTGATGCTGAACATTTTTTCATGTATTTATTTGCCATTTGTATTTACTGAGAAGTATGTATTCTTTTCAGATACCCATTTTTGGATTGGGTCTTTGAATTTGAGGGATCTGATTCTTTTGAGTTATGTACTCTACCTAGTAATCCTTTGTCTAAGGAACAGTGGCAAAAATTTTTTCCCACATTGTGGGTTTTCTCTTCTTTTTTTGGTGGTTTCTCTTGCTTTATGAAAGCTTTTTAATAAAATGAGGCCCCAATGGTTAATTCTTTGTGATAGTTTTTGTACAATTGGAGTTTTGTTCGTAAAGTCTTTGCCTACATCAGTGTCTTCAAGAGTTCTACCCATTCTATTTTCTAGCAGACTTAGTGTTTCTATTTTAATATTTAGATCTTGGATCTATTTTGATTTTAGTTTAGTGCCTGGTGATAGACATGGTCTAGTTTTAGTCTTTGGTATGTAGAAAGTCAGTTTTTCCAGACCATTTATTTAAGAGGCTAATTTTCTTCCAGGGAATGTGTTTGGCATCTTCATCAAAGATAAGATGGCTAGGTGTGTCTGCAGTTGACTCTGCATCTTTTAATCTGTTCCATTGGTCCTCAGATCTAGTATATGTGTATGTACATATGTATTTATTTATTTGCCTGTACTAGGCTGTTTTTATCACCGTAGTTTCATAGTATAATTTCAAGTCAGGGATTGTGATGCCCCCTGTTTTGCATTTATTACTTAGAATTGCTTTTGCTATTGTAGGTCTTGTCTTATTCCAAATGAATTTTAGGATTGTTTTCCCTAATTCTATGTGCTATGCTCTTGGAATTTTGATCAGGATTCCGTTAAATCTGTGTATGGCCATTTTCACCATATTGGTTCTTCTACCCAAGAGCAAGAGCTATCTTCTTTCCATTTTCTGACATCCTTTTTAGTCTCCTTTTCATAGTACTATAGTTTTCAATGTAAAGATCATTTACTTCCATTGTTAGATTTATTCTTAGGTACTTCAATTTTTTTCGGGTGTTCTATTGGGAAAGGTGGTGTTTCCCTAGTTTCTCTCTCAGTATTATTTGTGTGTACAAAGGCTATTGACTCTTGAGTGTTAACTTTACAACACTACTGAATTTGGTTTTTAAATCTAGAAGTCTTTGGTGGAGTTTTTGGGGTCTTTTGTGTAGAGTATATATCACTCATGAACAATAATTTCACTTCTTCCTTTCTTATCCTTATTCATTTTATTTCTTCCTGTTGTCTAATTGCTCAGGATAATGTTATCAGAACTATATTGAATAAGAGTGCTGACAGTAAACATCCATAGTCAGCTCTGTACACATGGAAATAAATTTCGATATAATCATAGTTGCAACAGTTTTTCTGCATTCAAGGGGAGTCGTTCAAATTGTCTCCTACACTTTTTCTCCCATACGTGTATTTGGTAAGGGCCAGCAGCTCAGAACAGCAACTTTCTCCATCCATAATGTCTCTTTCAGACTACTACTCCCTTTTCTTATGGATAGAAACATTCAGCCTTGTGGTACCTGGCAAAAGAATTTTTACCTTTTTGCTTTTATCCTCCAGCCTCTTCATACCCCTCACAGTAGTTGAAAATTGAACTTCCTTGCTTGCTTTTATTTTTCATCCTGGGTAGTGCTACTGTGATGACCAGTACTAATTATTGTATTAGAATACACCAGCCCTGTGCTTAGCATTTCTAATATATTGTATCATTAACAGTAACAGACAGTATGGAAGGCGGTATTTTTCAGACTTTGCAAAAGAAGAGACTAAGCTGAAACTAATTAATTAACAGTATATTGTGGCCCTGGGATTTCTGAATCTAAGCTATTTTGTTGCTTTCAGAAACAAAGCTTCTAAAGCATTTTTTTGGGGCCAGGCTTATCTCCTCAATTAGTATGACTCTTGATGTTTTTGCATATAAGTTGCAGTCTTCAAAAGGAAATTTATTATGTTTTGCCAAAGGTAGTAGGTTGGTTTGTAATTATTTCTACCTTTCATCTTGCCCAGGCTTGAAACAAGGGAATCTTGCACCTCATGTTTTGGTGACTTCCATGTTGTCTTGATAATATTCCCTAAACAGGTATTGAAACTCTTAATTATTTGCATTCTGACTATAACCTCTAGGTTAGATTGTTATTATGATGGCAATGATTACTCTAGCAGCTTTGGCTCCGGTCTTCTTACCTCTCATTTCACCATGCCTAATCATTTCACACTACATTGCGGCAAGTTATTTTTCTGAACTGTACATTTTATCATTTCTTGCTTTATTCTGTCTAGCTTCTTACTGCTTAAGAGTAATTCTCTGAATTTTATCTAACTAAAAGATTTGCGTTATCTGGCTGTTTTTTACTTGCTGGTTGTATCTTGATGTCACTCCCTGTTTTAAACTCAGTTTCAGGCAAATCTTAATTGTAGTACACTTTCTTTTATCTCTGGTAAGGTGATGGTCCAGGTGATATTCAAGAAGATTTAGTCACAAATGGAACGTAATGAGCCTAGAGTTGCATTATAATTTTTATTTTTTAAATTTTTACAGGGTTTATTAATTACAAAAGTTGTTTGATGATAGAGATCCTGGCAAAAATACTATAGTAGAAGTAATATAATTCAAAAGACAATAAAAAGATTGCTCTGAGAAAAATGCTGATTATGTGTAGTTCTTTACACTACTATGCCTGTGTTCTGTATTTTCTTTTGTGTGTATTTTATATCAGTATCAAATGGTAGGTAAGGGGTAACCAACGAATCATTTTTGAGTGACTAGGTAGCCTCTAGCCAAAAGTTAGTTAATTTCTGCTTCTTCAGCTAAATATTGATCAAATTATGTGAATTTCACTTAATTTAGTGTTATAGGAAAAGGACATGGAAATAAAAAAATACTAACAAAGCTGTCAAATGAGAAATGATTTTCAAATATTTATGTTTGAGTTATCTTTGAACTTGGATTGTTCATATTTATGTGTTTAGGAGTTACAATTTCTCATATTTTATGTAAAATAGCTTGAGGAATTTTGATGATACTGAAACAAATGAGAACACAGTGATGATTCTCTTGTCCAGTGTCCTGGAATTTCTTTTGAACAGTTCATTCAGAATACCAGGAGGGAAGATGAAGTTGATGTTAATCAAGTGAAATACAGTTTTAATAATCATAATGATGAAATTGTTTTAGAGGGTGAATTTGCTATTTCAGAATAATCCAAATAGCTATATATATATATTGTTGAATTAGGTTCTTTTCTTGACCAAAATGAGATATGTTCTTAAATGAAACCAAAAATTTTTATGTGGTTTACAAAATCACTGTATTATAGTTCTAAATGTGTAGTTTCAGACATTCTCTCAGTGGTGGAAGCCTTTTTTAAAGTAGGACTACAGCCGTCTGAGTAGCTGCTTTGAAGAGCATTGAATGTATGCACTTCTTGGTTAGAAACTAATGATACTGTTTTACATTTAGTATATCTTTATACTTTCTCCTCCTATTATTATTACATGAATATTACTATCTCGTTATATGATTATGGTTATTTTTCATACGACTTTCTTACTATTCATAAAACAAAAATTCAGATGTAGGTAAACACTTCTGAAATGTGGTTAATGTTTAGTTGTGTGTCTGTTTTTGTTAAGTCTCATTCATTGTTAGGCATCCAAGGAAATACAAGAGGAGTCTTTAGCAGAGTTGTGATAGCGTATGCATTAGAAGTTAAGTAAAGTACCTAGAATTATTTTACCCTGACACAAACTTTTAAAGCCAGCTAATGAGGAATATAGAACAATGAAGTGGATTGCCCAAATTCAGTGAGTAAGATAATAAAAAATGCTGAGGTTGGTTTTCTATGGCATAACAACTTTATGAGGAAGAATATGTATAAGAGCTGGAAGGAGATGGAAGGATGCAGTTTTGGTTAAAATCTGAGCTCTGATTGCCTAGGGTATAGCTTTGGTTCTCATACTTCCTAGTCCTGTTATCGAAGTCAAGTCTCTGAACAAGCCTCAGTTTTCTCATCAATAAATAAGAGTAAAAATTTTTACTTTATGGAGTTGATATGGTGCTTTCTTATAGTATGTATGAATGGTCTACAACTTTACCTATTTTTTCCATTTCATATTATTTCCTTTATTACATTTTTATTAATCTACTTTTTCCCCAAACAGCTTCTTCTGTAGACTTGTTCATCCCTGGAAATGGCATCATTATTCATGAAAGCGCTCAACCCCAAAATTTGAGTCATCCTTGATTCTCTCTGGCCCTTAATCCTCAGATTCAGCACATTGGTAAATCTCTTGATTCTGTCTTTCATCCTATCTTCTCAGCATCTTGCTTTAACTTTTCAGGTCAACTCAGTTGCCTTCCTTATAGCTGTGTAGTTCTCCACTGCAGCTGTCCAAATTTCCAGCTTCCACTGTGGCTCTTGTCATCCTCCTAGCCTTCTCTATGCAGCACCACCAGTTGTGTTTGGAAAATGTGTATCAGAACAGAATATAGGGCTTCCTTGCTTGAAACATGAACTTCTTACTTCTGCTGTCAAAGCACAGTGTGATTCTGTCAGGATTTACCTATTAACCTCATATCTTAACATTCTTCCTTGATCACTGCATCCTAGCCACTATGTTCTTGACGTTCTTTTTGCTATTCTTTAAACATATCAGGCTCATTCCTTTTTTAAGACATTTTCCCCAACCATTGTGTTTATTATGGCTGCTCTTTACTTTCTTTTTTGTCTTGAATATCAACATAAACATTAAATCCTAAACTAGATCTCCCTAAACTACCCCCTCCAGAATACTATCCATTCTTTTTCTCTGTGGACCTATTTTATTTCTCTATGTAGTACAAAAATAAGCAGAATGAATGTTAGATATCATTGTGTGTTGTTTATTGTCTTCTCTGTCTTTGTGATATGTCTATTTGTTATTTAACTCGCCCATTAATATTCCTAGGATAAATGAATAAATTTTTAAAGATACTATTTCTGTCTTTATCTTGCTCATGATAACCTAGGAAAGACAATTATTATATTTAGTTGTATGATTTAGAGATAGTAATTATTATGCTGGGTAATATAACTAATGGTTAAATGTTACAAACACCAGAGTCTTAATAAATATTTAATTTATATTTGGTTATACTTGCTCACCCATTTTTCTTGTGCTACAAATTTCTTCTATTTGATAAGGGTCTAGTTGTACTGATGAATATTGTAAAAGTCTGACACTTGAGATACTTTAGGAATAGTTTAATTTTAACATAAAGCCATTTTAGGGAGATCTTTTTTCAAACGAGAAGAAGCACACATAATGTTTTGCTGGCACACAATTTTTTTTAATTTTTAGTTTTCAGTGGGGTCTGTAGAAAAAATCTACAATGCAGTTACATTAGATATTGTCAGAAAGGATATTCTGGTTTGCATAGTTTTGTGATTTTTTTTTTTTATCTAAAGATAAAAGATCCTTCGTAGTATGAACCTCATTTCTAAATATAATTGAAGAACATTGAAATTTTGGGGATGGCAACAAGATGGCAGATTGATAAGTAGCCAGGCAAAGAACCTCTCTGAGAGAAACAGCTGAGATGCTAGAATTTAACACCATGGAAAAGACCAGATGAAAGGAGAGGGATTCTCAGGACCCAGGGAGAAACTAAGGAAAAAGAAAAAGAAAAGAAAAGAAAAATGTGGACCAAGACTGAAGCGAGATGCGCTCTTGCTGGGAGCTGGTCCGACTCGTGGTCACGCGGAAGTTGGGAGTTGAGGAGCCCAAGGACCTTGGTGGGAGGACATATTGCAACGGACAGTGGAGCCAGCATGGAGATCTGCACTGGCCCATAGTGAGTGCTCGGAATTTGGCCCTCCCGTGGGAGGGGATGACTGGCTGGCCAACATCTTGGAATCAGGCAGGACGGGCCTGAACTCAGAACCATAGTGGCTTCAGTTGGCCACTCCTGGCGCTGAACAGATTGGTGGGAATGGCTTAGACTGGGTCCTGCCCCTGTGTGGGACCCAATATCCAGGGACGGAGTTGCCCCTGAAGCTGTCCTGAACTGATTGCATCTGTGTGGCACACACTAACATGGTGAAGACTCCCAATAGTTGACTGGCTTGTAAGAGAGGGACCAGCCTGCACTGCCCCTGCTTGTACCTCAGTGGTTGACAGCAAACTTGAGAGGGCAACAATCCCTAGCCAGCATGCTTCAAAGTAACCGTAACCAATACAGAAAGGGACTGGGACCTCCACTATACGTCTGTCTGGAAGAAACCAGAAACATGACAAGAGAAAAAAACAAAACAAAAAAAGCCTCCAGCTGCCAACCCAGGAAATATGGTTCTAGGAGAGGTAAACACAGAAGAGATTGAGGGCTACAGTTTTGGAAGTAGCATCAGCTAACATTAAGAAATGCCTTCGTGACATACAGAGAAACTCAAAACAAATACTAATACAAGTAAGGCAGGATATAAGAAGGTTATTAAAAGAAATGTGAAGTACCTCTCAAGAAGACACACACGGGAGAATGGAGGAGCACAGAAGAAGGAGGGAAACCTTTGATGAAGAATATTTTAAAAAATCTAGAAATACATGAAACAGATTCAAAGAGATTACCAGGAAATTAAAAACTCCATTGAAAGCTGGCAAAACTGCTTGAAAGAAATTGAAGATAGACTATCAAAACCTGAAGACAGGTTTGCAATGTGTGATCACAAAAGGAAAGATCTCTTAAAAATAACAAGGAAATAGGAAGTAACATTACAAAGGATAGAAGATGACAAGAGGATCCGTAACTTAAGAGTAAAAATTGTGAGTGAAGAAACAGGGGTAAACACAAATGAAATACAAAGACTATTCACAGAAATAATTAAGGAAATCTTCCCAAGCAAAGGAAAAGGAAATGATACTCAGATTTATGAGGCATACAGAACTCCAGCCAGCTACAACCAAAACAGAACTACACTCAGACATAGAATAATAAAGATCCTAGAACCTCAACACAAGAACATAATATTAAAAGCTGTCAGAGAAAAGAAACAGATCACCTAAAAGGAAAACTCATCAAAATCACGACAGACTTCTTGACACAAA